GAAAAACAAACCTAAGCAAGCAAGTAATTCAACAGTAGAAATATACAATAAAGGTTCCTATAGAATACTATAGATACTCAGGGTGTTAATAGTCTCCCTTAGTATAACCAACCCCCGAATCTAGATCTCTTAGCATTTATAAGAAAAACATTTGCAATTAGGGTTAGTTTGAGATATCTTCCCCTTCCCTTTAAGCATCATAGAATAAATATTAGAAATTAGAAAGTAGCATTAAATTCGGTAGTGGTCGCGTCACTAAAACCGAAGCTACAAGAATACTTAAAGATGACAAGTTTAAAGTTTAAACATCAGGTGAACAAGTTAAGCCATTACTTGAACATTTAAGCATGGATACAAATTGAACAAGTTGTGACAAGTTGGTAACAACCAAACATGGGTATTAGGGTTCAAACATGGTCATAAGCAAGTAACAACATCACAAAGGTTTAAGCATACAAGTATATGTTCATAGTCATTTTCAAGACAAAGTTCAAGTGTATAAGAACACATAAACATGTTAAAAGAAACACAAAGACAAACATGCACATCATGGTCATGTAAACATGGAAAGAACATCTCATGTTAAGGAAAATTAGTTAGGAAAAAGCTCATGGTATGGACAAATTTCAACATACACTTATGACATGTAAACATGCATCAAAAGGCATAAATGTTTAAGAAAAACACAATGTACAAGTCCATAAGGTCATACAAGGTTTCTATAAGGTGTGTAGGGTTCACACGAGTCAACATGTATAAGAGAAACTAGGGAATCATTCAAGAGAATCAAGAGGAAACCATGGAAACCCCTAACATGGTCATACACTTTGAACACTCATAAATGCATCAAAAATAAATATTTTTGGTGATTTCTTTTCCCAAATAGAAAATACATAATGTCAAGAACAATTTTCAAAAAGAATGGCCTCAAAATGATTTAAAATGAGAAAGTTATGGTCAATTGAATTTGTGAAGAAAATGGATAAAAATAAGTCATAAAAATTAATGGAATGTCCTACATGGGACTTGAACCCACACCAGTCAGATTCTGGCTCAAAATCTTAGCCAACTCAACTAAAAATTTGATAACTAGGGAGAAGCATGATATTATATGTGTTATCTACTTGAATAATTAGAAAAATAAAAAGAACTGGGGTGAGGGAGGATTCGAACCCTAGTTCAGGCAGTGACAAGGTTACATAACACGCAGGTAAAACCACTAGGGTGGTGATGCATCCCTTGTATCACCCCCACCCATTAACTTATATTCCTAGAAGTAACCTAGGCCTGGTCAGACAAAGGTTGCCCATGGCTGGTCATGCCCAAGATTTTCAAGTTTTGTGTCATTTGCAAAACAAACCATAACTTGGTCATTTCTCCATGAAAATGGATGAAATAAAAATGAAACTTGCTTGAAATTTCCTAAGGAATCTAATGGCATTGTTGGTTTTTTCAAATGATTCTCTCATTTTAAAACTCAAAGGCTACACTAAAAATGATCTATTCTTGTAAGTTCTATGTCAAACTCATACACAGTCAATAATAGCATACAAAATTAGTTCAAACACAACATATATGATATTTCAAGTATGTATAAACTCAATGAACATCAAAGCACAACATATTTTGCAAAGTTCAAGTTCTAAAGGAACTTACCTCTTGAAGTCCACTTCCCAACTTTCAAGTTTTTTGTTATAGAATTAAACCAATGCTTTGGATACCTCAAAGGAACTTCTAAGATGCTTAGAATAAGAGGAAAACTTCTAAGGCAGAAACTAGCTCCTTTTTGCAAAATGGTTGAAAATGGCCAAAATGGAAACTCCACCAAATGATGTTACAGTTGAGAAACTACTGGAACGATTTAAGGATGTTATTTAGAAGGTGTTTGAAGTTTTGGATGGTTTGGAAATGGACAAAATCAAGACATGGCTTGTGAAATGCAACAAGTCAAAGATATGAGGTTTTGACAGTTAACTTTCTGATTTTGGTGTTTGGAAGGGGAATATGAAGGTTTGAACACCTTCAAAGGATGATTTGTGATGTGTTTGAGTGGTTTAAGCTCTGGTTTTGAAAATTCGATTCCCACTCTTTGGAAATTTGTAAATTTGAAGTGAAAGAGGAAGAATGAGAAAACAAGTGTTGTGATTGTTTTAATGTGTTTTGAAACATCAGATGTGGTCTCTATTTATAGGGGAGCAAGTTTGTTTTGGAGGAATAGTGATGGTTTGAAGGATGAGCTCAATGTTCAATGGTTTTGGAAATGCATCATTACTTCCAATTCAAGGTACCTTAGCCTAGATCTTCTTTTGATCAATTCCACATTCTACAGAGGTGTTTATTGTTGTTTAAGAGTGCATCTTGACTAGTGAGAGTGGTTTCTTTGACAATGCACTATTCCACATAAATGCTTATGGAATTCAAGGCTTAAAGTGATGATGTCTCATTATTTCAAAGGGATTCCTCTTGACTTAGTGGCTATATCTTGTAGGTTTTGTATGATTTAGTCAGATTCTTGTTGAATTAACTTGGCATGATCATCACACTTGGACTCAAAAATCGTGTACCACAAGTAATGCAAAATCTGCCTTACCAAAACAACTTCATCAAGGCATGTTGTGCACTTCATATCTCCTTGCTCAAATGGAATTATATTGTGTTCTTGTACATTTTGGAAATTTGATATGTCATACTTCAACTTTGATGTTTGAGGTTTGCCTTAGATTATTTGGATCATCGAGAAAAATAGCCTCAAAGTTGGCTAAAACACAAAACAGATTCTGTCCAAAATTTTCTTAAGTGTCAAGGTTTAAAAAGTCTTGAAACCCTAACTTGATGGCTTTATATCTCAAAATCTATGCAATTTTTAGGAATCCAACCTAAGTGATAAAGTTGTAGTATGTAACAAGCTCTTCAATTTGGTCTTTGGATCAAAGAAAATGGTTGCTTGGTTTGGAAGTTATGCCTTAGAAAAATTTTCATTTCTTCATGGTTGCCCTCTTTATAAATAACCTCTCTTTTCTTGATTTTTCTTGATTAATAATGATCCAAATCACATATTAACATTGCTCTTGACTTGAAGAGAGCATGTTTGACCAAAAACTTCAAAATTCAAGCTTGATTTTGGGCATAGTTGACTTTTGTATCAGATGAACTTTGATTTTGTGATCTCTTATTGAAATAAAAACCTTGGCCTATTTGAACACTATGGATGGTCTCCAAGGGTGTTTTTGAATGTATTTAATCATGTTCCAAGGTTTGAGATCATGTCTTTGTCAAAAGTCAAATGTACAATTGACTTTTCATCAAAATCCTAGTTTGTGGTCCAAATGAATTTGAATCCTTGTCTTGCTTATGGATTAATTTATTTTGGATCAATCCCATCATATGAATGGACTAATGTGAGGCATTTGAGGTCGTTGAAACACATCTTGAGGTATTGGATCATGCCTAAGTGAAAAATTCACTTTGGAGGCCCTGATCAGCCAAAAGCTAATTTGTGCACCAGATGAACTTGGGACTTTATTGACTTGAAATGAAGTAGAATTGTACATGATTATTGATAGAGGAGATATCTTGATATTCATTGGATGAATAAATGACTTGTTAAGTTGAAGATCATGCTCATTCTTTATTGATCCTTTGTCGGGATCCCTTTTGAGGCTTGAAACCCTAATTGGTAACCAAATGAAACAAACAACAATCTTTGTATATCCAAATGGGTTAGTGATGTATAAAATTATACTTATGTATGATTCTAATGAAATGCAAATTATTTGGGATATTAGGGTAAAAACTTAGGGTAGGACAGATGCCCCTATTTAAGGTTCTCCTATTTGGAGAAGTGAAGATTGATATCTTAGTTTCGACAAAATAAAATAGACTTAAATACAACTAAGAATGCACGGATTTTGGATCCTAAGTGTTATACCCCAAAATTTACCCTTAGATTCTTTGATCTGTTGCATCATCTTAGGTCAATCATCAAAGCATAGCTAACCAGTTTATCAGACTTTATTGCTTGTTTCATTTGTGAAATTAGAGCTGCTGCAGAAGGTTCAAAGTTCATGAAGGATTTGTGTGTGCTCATAGTCCTCTACAAGTTGTGTTGAATTCCTGTAAAGATGAAGAAAAGTTATGCCCCCAGTCTTACGGTCCCTTAGTCAGTACAAGGTCAAATTTCCTCAAAATTTCTTAGAAGTTTCAGTGTATACCCCAAGGGATTAGGGTTTTCTTTCCACTAAGCATGGTCAAGGTTTCGTGATAAGTTGTATCCTCATTTTCAAAGGGTTTCTCAGAGCATGGTTCGTGTACCGAGTTCATCATCAACTAAGTCTTTGATTGCAAGGGTAGCAAAGGTCAAGCAAGATGTGTTCATGAAGTTGGATCATGGTTCATGTTTTCTTTTAATCTTAAGAGGAAAGTTGGATAAAAATTTTGAATCAAATTTTAGCAAGGAGTTCTTAAAATTAAATTCAAGAATATGTTCCTTATAAAAATTCAAAATGATTCACAAATTATAAGATTGAACTTCAAAAATTCAAAGAACAAAGTTCATGGTATCCGTCATCATTCAAGATTCAAAGGTGAACTTGTCAAAATTGAGTTTCGTCCAATTTATATTCAAAAGTATAACAAATGGAAGAATTGAAAAACCACACAAGGAGTACAAAACTCGAGAATGTTTAAAAGTTATCCATAAGCCAAATTCATTTCAATTTGAAGTATTACATGATTAAATCCATTTAAAGATGCAAAGTCAAGCATAAAGATTCAAGTCCAATGTTACTCATCACCATTCAAGTATCCAAGTTGAAAATTCAACCTTAATTCAAGGAGATTCTACAAAGAGGATTGAATGAATAATTACAACATTTCAAGTTATCATGGAAAATTCAAGGCTTTGAAGATTTACAAGTTTAACTCCAAATTCAAGGTTACAAAGAAGCATTATCAAGAACATGAAATTCCAAAACTAATCACCACACACTTGATAATAGAAGTTAAAGTGCCCAAATACAAAGAATCACAAGAAAATTGCATGAAATAAAGCCTAATTCTATCAAGTATTTGATTCCAAAAGCCCTTGACTTCTTTGTCTTTAGCCACAGCCGAGCCTCAATTCTATCGAGTTCTTCGTGCTTTGATTTACTCACCCAAGTCTCTTGCCCAAGAATCATTAAGTCTAGGCGCCACCATCCCAAACTGACTGCTAATGCATTCAAATTATTGTGACAAAGTTGCAATACACAATAAAAAGAGAGTCATCAGAACAACAACAACAACGAATATCACAAATGCACATGTATTGCAGAAATATCGAAACAGGGACAGCAACCGATAGCAGAACAAGGAATTAGAAGGAAGAGGTTCAAAAAGCTAACACAAATCACTCACCTCCGTTGCCGATATCGTAGTCGTCTCTACCTCCAATTGTAGTGAGCCTCGCGGGTCTTACGTAAAGAAGAGGACACAAAGTAGAGAAAGCCATTCTCCGACTTGCAAACAGAACTCGACGCCGCCATTTCTTCTCCGTCCAACACCGCCGCTGATCATTCGTCCTTCTCGATCACAGGTAACATCGTAACCCTTTCGTTTGGGTCAAAAGGAAATCATTTTGAACCATATTTGATGTATCGCCATGGATGTTCGAATACTAGTGATGTTTCGCCATGAATTGGTGTTGTGTGAACACATGAGAAAGGAGAAGTGATAGAAGATAATGGTCTGCCGAGTTTTTTTTTTTTCATATAGAGACTCCAATTTTATTTATTTTGTTCATTAATTTTATTATTTTTTTCTTAAGGGTTCGGTTGGGCTTGGAATATGTGAGCCCAAGTTGTTTTAACACCCCTCTTGCTTGTTCTTGCACACCCTTATTATGTCTTATTATTTTATTTTCATGGTTATCTTAATTTTTATTTTAGTATTTTAGCTCAAATTAATTATATTTTATTTTAATGGCAACTTAAATTGGTGACATAATGTTGATTCTGATTTTTCTATTAATCGTTGATTTAAATTTAGGATTGAAATCTGTGATTAGTTATTGATCTAGATCTAGGATTAATTTCCTGGTTTAGTTTCAATTAAGTTCTCATTAGTCCTTATTAGGATTTTCAAGAAAATTCAAGCTGATATTTGTTGGATTATATAAACTTCCCCATGGATTTTTGTTGTCATGGTTTCGACATATGTGTTGAATAAATACTCTTGATATGTGGTGTTATTGATTGCATTGCGTGTTTGAAATGCCATGTTTCTCTTAGGATGCTTGATTAAATTGAATTAAGATTAGATTTTAGAATTAACTCTTGTATGAAAACATTAGGTTAATTTCACTTCTAATCGGAATCTCAAGTCTTTAGAATTAGGTTAGTTCCCTTGGATTGTTAACTTAGACAATCTATAATCTGATTCCCTTTTGTGTTCACATCCTAATTTTCTCAATCAAGATTCCAAAAGAAAGGATATCCTCCTGTTGACTGTCATGTCAATTTTAGAAAACTCTAAGTCCTTACCCTTATCCTAGCCTTAGGATCGGAGTCGCTGCACTCCATGCAAGCGTCCTTCCATAGACATTCTCTTTTGTACCATCATCCTAGCCTTAGGATTGGAGTCTCTGTGCTCCCTATAAGTTCCTGCCATGGACACTTATTCTTTTTCCTTCCCTTCATCCTATCCTTAGGGTCGGAGTTGCCACACCCCATGTAAGTTTCTGCCATGGACACTTATCTTTCCTTTTCAACTCAACCTTAGACTTAGAGTCGCTGCACTCCCAGTAAGTGTCTCACTATGAACACTTACTTCCCCCTGGAACCTTGACCACAGTCAAGAGTTCCTCACCCTTGTTGAGGGGAACTATGAGTGCTCTGATTTCATTCCCGTCGGGATACGTAGGCATGAGATGCAATGTCTTGGAGAGCATACTTAAAAATAACATTTTATGTCTACTTTCAACCCTTAAGAAGATCAATAAAATAACACAAATACTAACAAGAGGTTCATGTAGAGTACTACAGATTCTTATGATGCTAATACCTTCCCTAGGTATAACTAACCCCCGAACCTTAGATCTCCCGCATTGTTTTTACAGTCCAATTAGGGTTTTTTCGTTCTTTACCCTTTCCTTTGGATAAATCAAAGCTCAGTGGTGAATTTAAAGATTTGTGATTCAAGTTAATCAATAGCTTGATATCTGATTCTCACCGTAACAAAAATGGTGACTTCACTAGGGATTTTTCTTTTGAGGGTTACCCCTAACTTGTTTGATCTGTGTTTCGAGAGTTGATTCCCGGCTAAGTTGACTTGAGAAATCACACTCAATTGAGGACCTCTTCGGAGCAATATTGTTTAACGAACATTCGTGAAAACATTACTACTTTCGACCTAGGAGCTCGTGACATTGAGAAACTTTAGTTACTCTTAACCCAACATGGCCTTTTCTTAGGACATAGTGCGATGACTATGAGGGAGTAGTCCCAAAATAGTTGATACGCGACACTACACTCAAAAGAGGTTCTCTTAAGAATATTATTAACTACCAAGTAATTGGGAAATTTATAATATCCGAAAGATTTACTGGTGACTTTGGGAACCTCTTAGAATCTCTATTCTGCAGGTACAAGAACCTTTAATACACACCTCTTGGGATGGGTAAACCGTCGCTCCATGCTCGTGATCTTCAAACCTAGGCCTTTGTTTGTTTGCCTGTATATATGTGAATGTATGTATATGTGTGTTTGTGCATCCATATATTCATGCATTCATGAACAATATTTGGTTTCAAGGAATTCAATTGTTCATTCCTTTGCAAAAACAATAGAGATCATGAATTTTAAAATAAAACCTTTTTCAGTTTTTAAAAAATGTTTGCAATTTGCTTTTGAATTCCTTGAACTCATTGCATTACATTGCATCCATGTCTTTGCATGTGCATTTTCCTTTCGTTTTTTGCTTATTCTGTTGTCTCATCTTCAGTTCATTCACCCTGAATCCTTTGCGCTCGTAAAATACCAGAGCACAAGCTCGTAGAAGGATGGCGGAACATAAATAAGAACTTGATCGTGTCAGCAATGAATTAGAAGACCTACGGGGAAGTGTAGGGCAAATTATGGAGATACCATAGGTTATGCGTGCGAAGATGGATAATCAACCCACTATTGTTTCTGACATTGTCAATACAATTGTAAAGCCTCAATCACCACACTGTTGAGTAGTCCACCAGGTTTTCTACCTGCGCCTACTACAATCCCCATCGTTCAATAAGTCCAACAAATTGTTCCTTTGGTTACTGAAGCTCCTCAAGTGATTCCAACATTTGTATCATCCATTGTGCATACCCATGTGCAACCGTAATTCAATGAGCATCAACCATTATATGTTGTCCCTGACATGAAAGAAGATGGGAATAAACTTCATGAGAAAATCAGAGAAAATGTGGAAATTATTGATAAAAGGTTGAGAGTGATGGAAGGAGATCAAGTATTTGGTGCTACAGCCAGAGAAGTGTGTCTTGTATCTGGTCTAGTTATCCCTCCAAAGTTCAAAGCTTCTAGCTTTGATCACTATGAAGGAACTACATGCCTAAAGAGCCACCTGATCATGTACTATCGAAATATGGCCGCTCACGTTGATAATGATAAGCTGATGGTTCATGTTTCCCAGACAGTTTGAAGGGTACTTCGTCGAAGTGGTATTTTAGTCTGGATCAGTCCCGCATTAAGATTTTCCAAGATCTATCTGATGTTTTCATCAAGCATTATAAATATAACATGGACTTGGCTCCTGACCTAAGGCAACTTCTAAGTATGTCTCAGAAGAATTCTGAGTCGTTCAAGGAATACGCTCAAAGATGGAGAGAGACGGCTTCGCAAGTAGAACCTCCTTTGACTGAAAAACAATTGGTGGATTGGTTTGTCGACACTGTTCATCCTGAGTCTTATGAAAGAATGGTTGGAAGTGTAACTGCAAATATTTTTGATATTGTGGCTATAGGCGTGAAGGTAGAATTGGGTTTGAAGAGTGGAAAAATGTTAAGTACTGCTGGTAGTTAAAGCTCCAACAAAGACCATGCTAAGAAGCCTTCATTTAGCTCTCACAAGAAAAAAGAAGGTGAAACCAATGCCATAACGTCAAGCAGAAGAAGAATTCAACCTTGGCAACATTAGCATAGCTATGTTCAACAAGGTTACCCTGTTAATTTTGCTCAACAATCGTATGTTGCTGCTGTTACACCTGCTTTTAATCAACAAGTTCCTGCATTCCAGCCTGTGCAACCAGCTTCTTTTATCAACCTCTGGTCTATCAACCACCTCCTGGTTATCAGGACGCCCAAGCTCCTTGCCTATCAACAACCAAAAAATCAAACACCTCGCCAAAATGTTCCTAACAGAAGACAATATAAGCCTCCAGTTCCTCCTATTCCGATGACATATACCGAGTTGTACCCTTCATTGGTGCAACAAGGTTTGATAACTCCAAGGGATTTAGGTGCACCTCCTAATCCACTTCCACCTAACTACATTCCAAATGATCATTGTTTCTTTCATGAAAGTGCACCTGGCCATGATCTAGAAAGTTGTTATGCTCTCAAGCACCTTGTAAGAGAGTTAATAGAGAAGAAGATTCTGTCTCTCGGTGATTCTCAGCCTAATGTTAAGAATAATCCTTTGCTCACCCATGGGTCTGTTCATGTTATTGATGAGGTATCTGACGAAAGTTTAATCCTTGATGTTTCCAAGATTAAAAATCCTCTCTGAGTCTTCCATTCAAAGCTGTTTGAGGCAGGTTTGGTAAATGTTTGCCATGATGATTGTAAAGTGTGTGATGCCAGTGTCAAAGGATGTATGTTGGTTCAGAATGATGTTTAATGTTTGATTAATGTTGGCTTTCTACAAGTGAGTAACAAAGTGAAGAAGGACGAAGTCACCGTGATTGAGCCCATCTTCAACTTGCCAGAACCAGATGATAAAGTGCCCATTTTTAATTTTCCATAATCAAGCTCTGTAATACCTATTTTCAGTACACCAAGGCCTATGTTCAATATACCAAAATCTGTTGTTGCTTCTGCAGTTAATCCACCGAAGTCGTTGATCATTCAAAAGCCCAGTCCCTTTCATTTCAGAGACTCTAAAGTCGTACCTTGGAAATACGATGTGATAATGATTGACAAAGAATCTTGAAAGGTTATTTAGAGGGAAGAATTGAAAAGTGTTAGTGAAGATGTGACTAATATAGCTGGGGCAAGAAAGATGATACGAAGAGATCATATTTATACTTCCCGTTTCGATGAGGCTCCGCCTAAGGAAACTGTTACCATTGGGCCTACCAAAGACAAAGAGAAAGAAGTGATTACAAATGATGGAGATGTTGAGTTCTTGAGGATTATCAAAAAAAGTGATTATAATGTCATTGATTAGCTTCATCAAACTCCCTCCAAGATCTCAATACGATCGCTTTTGATGAGTTCACCTGCTCATCGAGCTGCAT